GTGATGGTACATACACTGGTGACTAATACACTGGTGACTGGTGACAGACTAATGTGATGTACATCCACTGGTGACTTGCGACAGACTAATGTGATGTACATATACTGACGACTTGTGACAGACTAATTTGATGTACATACAATGATGACTAGTGACAGTCTAATGTGATGTACATACACTGTGGACTTGTTACTGACTAATGTGATGTAGATATACTGGTGACTTGTGACAGTCTAATTTGATGTACATACAATGATGACTAGTGACAGTCTAATGTGATGTACATACACTAGTGACTAGTGACAGACTAATGTGATGTACATATACTGGTGACTTGTGATAGACTTTTACACTGGTGACTTGTGACAGACTGATGGGATGAACATACACAGAAAAGTTGACACTGATATGTGTTTGCATTTCCAGTACATGTCTGAACGGAAACAAATAGAAAATTCCAAGTTTTCATTACATAATGATTTCCCTTTGGATTCAAAATAAATAGATGTTCCTTACAGTCATTTGTAGTATTGGATGTTCGCTGACAGAGGACAGATACAAATAGGACAGTAATTTATGTGTAAGCAGGTTATGACTACCTAGATACCCCTCACAACCAAAGCTGACCACAATGTACCATAGATAGGACTCGGCCTCAGTAACACTGTTTAAACATTAATTGATTTGCCACCCGGAGCTGATAACACACTGTGATGCAGGGAATATTGCCTTGCTTGTCAAGTAGGTCCTTTAGACACAACATAATTAATCAATGATTAGTGTAGTGCTTCCTGATTTTATGTGAAATTTCATAGCTTATATATTGACTCAGGTCATTGACTGGGACCAGACCTCGTATAGCCATGAGGACTCTCTGAAGTCACTCAGTGAGTGTAATACCAGCGAACAGACCTATGGAACACCAACTGGAAACAAAATCCCTAGACCATAATATGTCTGTCCATCCCTGGAAATATATATAATCATTATGTCCATATTTTGTGAGTGACACATGAACAGGACTCCAGGTGACACTTGTATATAAAGGATAGTTCCATATATAAACTTGCATCATGTAGCTTTACTTGAACAGAGCTATATTTATACAGGTGTCTCACGGGGGTCTGGTATTGCAGTGGCTAGTGCATTCACAAGTATGGCTGGGTTTCAATTCTTTAATTGAACAGGTATAGGGTCAACTTCCTGACCATGTCCATGGGTTTTCTGTGGGTACTCAGCTTTACTTCCACATTATAACCCACTGTGTGCTTCTATCTGGGCAAACGGGAGTGATTAATTTAAGGTAGAAAAATTTATGTCATGATTGATGTAAAATAAAATTTAATCTAATATATGGCTCACAATGACATTAGCACATTACAGAACTCAACATGACATTTGCCTATAGAGAGATCACATGACACTAATACAGTGATATTTTATATACTCATATCATTGACACTAATACAGTGATATTTTATATACTCATAATCATTGACACTAATACATTGATATTTTATATGACACTAATACATTGATATTTTATATGACACTAATACATTGATATTTTATATACTCATATCATTGACACTAATACATTGATATTTTATATACCTCATATCATTGACACTAATACATTGATATTTTATATACCTCATATCATTGACACTAATACATTGATATTTTATATACCACTAATTATATAATACATAGATATTTTATATACTCATATCATTGACACTAATAGATTGATATTTCATATACCTCATATCATTGACACTAATACATTGATATTTTATATACCTCATATCATTGACAGTATGCTTAACTAATACTTCAGCGTTTTAAAGGATAGCCTTGGAGATAATAAATAAGGGCCAATTGGGATCAAAGTTCTGATAACCTCTGGGTAGCTAATTATATATAAGCACTGTGCCTAAGGTAGTCGCCTTGACATCTCACACAGGTCCCTTGTATTTAATATACTGTCTGATTACAGTAGACATGCCTCACTGTTAACTGATCTTGATTAGATATTGGAAAAGTTGATAATCAGAGTTGTATCCAAGTGTATCATGATGTTTTGTGTCAATGGCACTGGATTACTGTGGTAAACAATCCAGGTCAGTAGACACAGACGGGATCAGCTTTATTGGGAGAAATCTAGAACGGGAATAGATAATGAGATTTCACTCAGCGAGTGGTCACTATAGAGAGGGGTCTGTTGTATTTGTTATAAATCCTACTACATTGTATTTTAACTTATCAGCGAAACTAAGTTATTAATATTAAATATTATAACCTTTGCCACTCGTCAGCCACACCATAGACCATTAGCTTGCTGTAGAACCTTTGCCATTCAATTGATTTTTTGCTATTCCATAGAACTTCGGCCACACTATAGAACCTTGGCCACACCATTGCACATTAGCCATGCTTTTGACGATTGGCCATGCTGTAAAACTTTGGCCACACCATAGAACCTTGGCCACACCATAGAACCTTGGCCACATCATAGAACCTTGGCCACACCGTAGAACCTTGGCCACATTATAGAACCTTGGCCACACCATAGAACCTTGGCCACACCGTAGAACCTTGACCACACTATAGAACTTTGATCACTTCATAGGTCTGTCTGACCTTGGCAGCACCATAGGTTTCTCTGAACTTGGCCCACATCATAGAACCTTGGCTTCACTGTATAACCTTGGTCACAGTCCTTAGAACCTTGGCCACACCGTAAAAACCTTGGCAACACCATAGATCAATGGCTGCACCATTGCACATTAGCCATAATGTAGACCATTGGTCACACCATAGGTCTGTCTGATCCTTGACCACACCTTATAACTTCTGCCACACCATAGGTCTGTTTGACCTTGGCCACACCATAGAACCCTAGCCACACCATACAACTTCGGCCATACCATAGGACATCAGTTCGCCAAAACACCCTTGGCCATGCTATAGACATTTTGCCACATTAGAACAGTGGACACTGGCAGTGTTGCTCACCAATCCAGTATTAACATTGTTGATGACTACTGTTTTTCTTGTCTGCATGTGACCGTAGCTGTTGATAGGATGTTAAACAATACTAAACCAAACCTAACCAAACCTTGTCTGCCTCTGATTGGTATTTGGCCAGGCTTTGAACTGTACATGTTTGTTAGTTCACACACGAGCATGGACACTACGTCGCCTTTGGAAATGCTAGTCGGTTTTTAGGATGAATTATTTAGACCTTGAATTGTTTATGACATTGAATAAAACGACAATTTGATTACACGTGAGACAAAATGAGGAAAACAATGGAATTAGTGTCCAGAGCTAGATGTTTCCGAGCTATACATACCAAAGTATATTACATTCAGTGAAATGTTATTCAGAAAACCTTGCCTGCTTTATACAAAATACACACTTTCTAGTTTCTAATTTTATGCTTTCAGTTTTAAGGTAAAATGTCTTTAACAGCACAGTCTATAAGTGCTGTTTGCTCCAAACACTTCTGTTTACAGTTCACCAGACAGAGTAATGTGTGAAAATCTGTTTACAAGTTACTTGTGCAAGGTGAAATGTCAGATCTATTTTAGATGGAAATGCTATTCCGATGCTAACAAGAATCAAAACTTGTTAATGGATATCAGAAATGGCTAATGACAAACTGTCACTTATTTTGAAGAAAACATTTTGAGATTTATTGGTACTTTAAATGATGTAATCGATAAAATAAAGTACATGTGTTCTTTTTATTCTGATTAAAACCTGCATCAAGGGAATGTTTGTAATTAAAGGCTAGTTAGTGTACAGGTATATTGGAAGTTGTGTGTGTCCGCTCCCTTGTGGCTGATTGACGAGTTTATCAGAGAGTCTGTGCCTGTCCAGACATGCCACGTTTTATTAGTCATCGGTTGCAATGATTCATCTGAAATTCTTTCCATTATTTGTGTCTTTAAAACATTTTAAATTTGTTGAAAAGAGTAAACAAGAGAAATTAAATATTACCTTGGTCTTTTTGGAGAAAATATGATGTGTGATTCCACAATGAGTTTTCCTATCGAAAAGGCAGATGGTGTTAAAATACACTGGCTTGATAGCAACTTGAGTATGTAATAGATATTTATCACAACAACTTGAGTATGTCATAGATATTTATCACAACAACTTGAGTATGTAATATATATTTATCACAACAACTTGAGTATAAAATAGATATTTATCACAACAACTTGAGTATGTCATAGATATTTATCACAACAACTTAAGTATGTAATAGATATTTATCACACATTTGTGGTACTGCTCTATTTTTCACCATTCCCTGCTGTTGTGATGTCTTTCACTCATGAACAGTTTGTGTCATGTTACTAATGATTTTGTCACAGTTCGAGGAATCCAATCATGCATTTGTAAAGAGGAAGTAAGTGATGTCTTTTGTTTTAGCCTACCTGGTCCAAAGAGTTATCGAGTAAGCTTATGACGTGACACAGCATCCATCGTCCATCTCCGTCTTCTTCCTTTAAAGCGTACAAGTCCTGAATTACTTAAGAGACTGTTATAGATAACACATAGATAGACTGCTAGTTCATATATATAACTGTGTAGTAATGTTATACAGTATTACTTAAATGTCTTAACAAAGATGAGACTGACTTTCTTAGAAAAAATAGAACTTTCACAGAAATAGTGAAACATATGTTTAAACAGTAGAGCTGGATGGACACTCCTGTAGTCCTGGTTCGAGTCTAATACAGATGTACGCTATCACTTAATTTCTCCCTGTCCAAGTTAAGTAGTGTTGCTTGTTCTAAAAAGGGATATATATTGCAATATACAAAAATTTGATTTGTGTTTAAGCGCATAGAGAAATTATCTGTATATTCTATCTGCTAGACATACCATCTGATAACTGCCAAGCATTCCACAAATTTCATTACCAGTGAAACAAGATGAGAGTTTTTTTGATGCTGACCTTTTATTACTCCAGAAATATGCACATTTATACCAGTAATAATAACACAAACGACAATACTTGTTTCCTCTGAATCTATTACAAAAAACTTGCAACATTTAACTTTACATGTTTATATACATACAACATACATATTATACATACAATCTAAAAAATCCCTATCTCTACTTGGATTGAAGATTATCTCAGCTGCTCTTGATCAGAAATGTTGTGTAACATAGAATTTGATATAGATGGTCAGCGGAGGCTAACCAGGGTGCAGAATTGCTCTGCAGTGCTGGGCAGAATTGCTCTGTAGTGATCAGTAGATGACAAATCAAGCAGCAGTGTACTATGATCTTGTAATGCATAAATTCCACAGAGTTGGAAAATCTACGAAGGTAGAAGTTTCACAGTACCCACAGGGATGTTGGTACTGCCACAACGAGGGCTGTGGAACTCGGTGAAATTATATGATTCTGTCCTTCTGCTTGACATATTTAAATTCCTTGCTTCAATCTCAAAGAGTTGTAACATCTACGAGGGTAAAAGTTACTCAGTATACATGAAGGCATACTGCCACAACGAGGGCTGTGGAACTCTCTGAAACTGATTGAGAATGTTGCACAGAAGTTTATTAATTGGGAAATTCATTGTAAGAATGATGTCCAAAATTTCAGGTGCGAAAAAATGTCTGTGAGCAGCTGATAATCCCCAAGTAATAAATGTAAACATCTTGATATGGACCCTAATTATTTCATCTATAAACAAGAAAACAGTTGTCATGATAATACATATATGTTAGACTCTAAAGAAGTTTGACACTTATTGGTAATAAAGATTGAGAAATTACATGCACCATTTATCATTCAAATGTACATACATACCTGTACACATACAGGTACTAATAGTTGTAAGTGAAATCGTATAGAAATTATATACGTATCAAAGTCAAGTTTTATGAATGTCTTGTAAAAGCATGTCAATTTTAACTATATGTGTTGAGACACTTATAAATCACTTAAACACTTTTGAGCTGAATGCAGAACTTCCTTTGAGGTGCGTATATATCGACAGTATGAATCAGAGGACCATCGGCCCATGGTCTTTATTAAATGGTCTTCAATGTGTTTGGAGGCAGCAGAAGTGGCTGCCCCTATGCGAAAAGAATGCCCATTGAAGAGATGTGATTCAAAACCACAAAGTGAAAGTACTTGGCGTAGCATCCCGATGAAGACATTTCTTGTTAATGGTTGTCCATTTGTTGCTACAAATAGTGCATCAGTTGACGTGGCACCCTCGCGATATCTTGTACTAATATACTTGTCTAAAATACACTTTGGACATACTGACTTTGAGGTACAGAAAAGCCGTATGTGAACGCCCTTCCTGAAAGGGTCCGTTTTTGATGTTTTCAATGACAGTATGGTGTGATCATCAGCTCGCGTAATATCACTTACACATAAGTTAGTTGTCGGATCAAAGGAATTCATGCACGTGAATTCTCCACATCTTAGGAAGCCAAAGAAAGCAACTACACAAGCTGTTTCCATCATTCTGTCTAACTTGATATTGAATACACCTTTCCGTAGCCGTGTGCAAAGGGCATGTAACACTGGAAAGGTCACTGGATACCGAGCTAACTTTGGCCGTCCGTCCATTCTTTTGATGCCATTCATAACCAACTGTAAACGCGCAAAATTGGAATTCTGGGTATACAGAGGACATTCCACTGCTGATGACAGGAAAAAATGTCGAATACCGCACAAGTACAATTTGATTGTAGAGTATCTTAATTTCAATTGCTGATGACAATGAGCTGCAAAGTTCATCAACAGTAACTCTGATACTGGAGGCATATTTGACCAAGTCTGATTGTTCAAGCATAAATATCGACAATATGCCTTGTAACCTGTTGAGTAAGATCCTCTGGTTGATGGAGCTATAGCTTGTTTAAGGATACTGGCTACTTCGACGGACCATTCCACATCACCGCAGTTGTAGGAGGGCACGGATATGGCTGAGCTTGTGCCTGTGGGGCTAATGTGCGGAATCTGTCCATCTGTAAACGAGATAAGGAGTCAGCGATGTCATTGCTTGTACCTGGTACATGTTCAGCAAAGATAGCGAAGTTATACTTTATGGCACACCACGTAAGTTGTCGCATCAACATCATAATTGATTTAACTTTAGATCTCCCCTTTTTTACAATATGTACAGTAGCTAGATTGTCACATTTGAACAGGATTTTCTTCTGGGACCATAGATGACCCCACAAAATAGCTGCTACCACAATGGGGTAAAGTTCCATGAATGCCATAGACATGAGGTCCTCAGCAATTAAGGGAATGTTCTTTGGCCATGGCTCACAAAACCATCTCCCTTGAAAATAACCCCCATGTCCAATGGTAGATGACGCATCTGTGTATAACTCTATGTCTGAAGCACAAGTGATAGAGATATCGTGAAACATGGAGACTCCATTCCACTCACTTAAGAAATATTTCCACATTCTTAAATCTTCTCTGCAAGCTGCAGTGAGGTGTACATAGTGATGAAGTTCCCGAACTGAAGCTGCCAGTGTTAACAAGTATGACACAAAGGAACGGCCCGGTAAAATCACTCTAGTGGCAAAATTCAGGTGGCCCAACACTTGCAATAGCTCCCGTTTGGTACATGATTTACGGGCGAGAAAAGATTCCATCAATGCAGTGATACGTTCTATTTTGTCTCTTGGTAGTCTAGCCTGCATTTGGTCAGAGTCTAAAATGATTCCTAGATATTCCACACACGTGCTAGGGCCTACAGTTTTGTGTTGGGCTATCGGGATATTCAACTTCTTAAAAATCATTGTCAGTAAAGCCATGGTTCTATCACTGTCAAAATTGGGTTTATCTACTGTGAGGAAATCATCTAGCAAATGTAAGATAAACTTAATGTCATAATTGTTAAGAGCAATCCAGCATATGGCAGTGGATAAAGTATCAAATATCTTGGGGCTTGACCGGCACCCAAAAGCCAATCGTGTGTAGTAGTAATACATTCCTTGCCATTTGATACAAAACAAATGATGTTGATCTGGTGAGATTGGTATCAACTTGAAAGCATCGCTGATATCAGTTTTACACATCATAGCTCTTCGTCCACACTTCACAATTTCTTTGATAGCGTCATCGATTTTTACATAAGTGAGTGAACATTGTTCTTTGTCTATGAGGTCGTTTATACTGGAATGCTCACTGTTGTGGGGTGAAGAAAGATCGACTATCAAACGTTTTTTATGTGAATATTTTCCTTCTGCTACCCCTATTGGCGACACACGATATTGTGAAAATGGAGATGTGGAAAATGGTCCTTCCAAAAATCCTTTATCTAGTTCACTTTGTAAAAGTCTATCGACGACATCTTTTTGCTTTAATGCAGATTGTAAATTTTTGCATTCTTTCGGAGGTAGGTCAGTGGTCTGTACCATTGTGTCAAAACCATATGTAAGTCCTTCTATCAAATAATCAACAAAATGTTGATCTTCATGATTGGTTAATTCAGTCTGTAACTGTGTCACATTTATGCATGTTTTTACTGTTTCTCTGTGTATGGAGCCATCCGTGGAATTATGTAGTCAGGTGGTATGTTTCGACTTGGTTGATTTTGAAGCAGCATTGTCTTTACAATGACCTGAGTCAGACCCATGATCTGTCGCTTTACAATGGATGCAGACATGTTTCAGAGGGCAATTTGCTCTATTGCAACCACGTGATCCATTGAAATTATTGCAAACTTCTGTCCCTTCATGAAAAACTCTTTTCCTACCATGCCTGTCTGTCTCGTTATCCTGCCTTCTACTGCTGTTCTGGTTTGAATTACCTGCCTTACTAAAAGGCCCTGATTGTACCAATGGACAGAAATGTGTATCATGCGAGACTTCCCCACATTTCGCACAGTTCCTAGATTTAATGCCACCTGCTATAAGTAACAGTAAGTCGCGGTCTTTCACGGACCAATCCACTTTAATGGCGTGTTGTTGGAGTGCTGTGGCACTTTTAAGTGAAAACATCTTATGGTATTCGTAAAACTTACTGCCGTAAGAGTTATAAATGTTAACGATGTTCGCTTCATAAGCGTCTAGTTCGTCTCTACGATCCGGGTATGCCCGGCACATGACACGTTTGTATTTACCAAATGCGGTAATGAATTCTCCAATGGTCAAGTTACGTTTCAGACGTGCATCGTCCTGATTCTTTCCTTCTAAATCAAAATACGGAATCAGAAGTGACGCCAGATTGACATCCTTACCGTCAATTATGTCGCCCTTGACTCTGCCGGTAACTAAATCCAGGTTGCCCAAATCCTCTGGGGATACTCCGAACGATCTAATTCTGTTTGTTGGTGTTGTGTGGCGCGGCATGGTCAGATTTCCTGCCAAAGGTGACTGACGTGCTTCCTGGCTGTAGACCTGGGCAAGGGTGACATCTTTCGCTGTCTGGCTATTCTGTTGTGACATGAAATCCATGAAAAATTGGCTCATGCCAGCCATAAACTGGCCAAACATGGGGGCGGCCATGTTGGAACTGTCATTTCCGGTATTGTTCGTAACCGTATCACTACGCACTGTGGCAGCACTATTTCTTTGCGAAAACATAGATCCTTGTTCTTGTCGTACAGTCTCATTTAAATGTACTACGTCGTCCGACTCGACGTCTGCTTCTTGCATGCGGGGAGACGATCGTGTTTGTCGAGGCGATGCTTCCGCATGAACAATAACATCGTTCTGTTGATTAGTAGTAACGCTCGTAGTGGTATCAGCAGAAGAATTTGCATTCGTTAGAACATTGTCCACATAAAGGCGTCGCAGTGTGGTTAACGTGAACGTCGCTGACGAAACAATGCCTTTAACACCAAGTTCATGTCGCAATCGAGTAGTACTCCAATTTAGGTAGTTTGTCATGTCGAGAGAATCGCCAGAGGTTTTTTGTCTTTTTTTCCAAAATTACGTATCGACACAAAAAGCTATCTCATCCGTAAGTCCGATGTCCAATAAGTGATTCTCATACAGGGTGATACCATATATATCCGGCAATATACCCAGGGGGCCAAAACACAATAAGTCACTCAAAGTAGGGGGATGGGTTTATAACAGGACAATGAAATAGCTGAAGTTTATAGTTTATATATCGGTTGAAATGTAATAGATGTTGGTGGGCTTATTTTCAGACATGGGCTTAATGCTCGATAAATATGGTATATGGTTTGATGTTGTAGGGAGTGTTTCTCTAAATGACTGATGATGTAGGTAATAATTCCTTATCAGTAAAAATTCTTTTTCTTTCTCATGTGAGCCATCCTAAAGATGTGGAACAGTATTTTCAGGTCTCTTTAATTATTTGCCATCATGTGAAGTGCAGTGGCTATTGGATATTAACAGCAAAAGACTACTTCAGGTTTATTATCCTCTGCAATGACATCATAAAATATGCTGTACTTCATTCAAAATGAAGAAAGAGAAAAAATAGATAGAATGAAAATTTTGAAAGGGGCATCCCTGCAACAACTGTATCTATGATAGATTATTTTATATTTTCTATATCTCAATTACATTATGGTTTTATACTTTAAAAGGTCCTTCATCAGATTACACGAAAAAGGCACATGCTTTCAGCTTCTGTACACCCCCACCTTCTTCCTGAAATAGCCTGTAATTATTATTGATGGACAAAAACATACGAGTCAGAGCCTACGCTACACAATCTCTATCCATTTACCTTCATTGTACTTAAACCCCTCAATTAAAGCCAACACATTATGTGAAAGTTCTCAGACTACTTGCTTCACATTAACAAACGGAAAGAAATGTTCCCTAGAGGAAAGCCTCGGACAGGGTGAGGAAAGCCTGCACGCATGGTGGTGTGGTGGTTAGGGAGAAGAGGATAAGGTGGAGGAAGCAATGTTGGTGGCTATAGACGGAAGTCTTCAGTCCTACAGGTCTACAGGGACATACATCATTACCAAGATAATTGGCTGGTGACCATAGAGGTTCCCTCGTGAAGTTGATGGCGACCATTTAAGGTTTCATTGTCAAGTCATTTGGCTTCCCAATGTATCTGATGGACATTGCTTGAATAACACAGTTTACTGATGGACTTTTTGAGTACATCTATGTAAGCTCATGCTTTCCTGTAGGACTGCAGTCAACCCAAACTGTTAGAGTACATAAACTATATCTAAGTTCATGCTTTCCTGTAGGACTGCAGTCAACCCAAACTGTTAGAGTACATAAACTATATCTAAGTTCATACTTTCCTGTAAGACTGCAGTCAACCCAAACTGTTAGAGTACATACACTATATCTAAGTTCATACTTTCCTGTAAGACTGCAGTCAACCCAAACTGTTAGAGTACATACACTATATCTAAGTTCATGCTTTCCTGTAGGACTGCAGTCAGCCCAAACTGTCAGAGTACATACATTATATCTAAGCTCATACTCTCCTGTAGGACTGCAGTCAGCCAAAAACTGTCAGAGTACTTACATTATCTAAGTTCATACTTTCCTGTAGGACTGCAGTCAGCCCAAACTGTTAGAGTGCATACATTATATCTAAGTTCATACTTTCCTGTATGACTGCAGTCAGCCCAAACTGTCAGAGTACATACACTATATCTAGGCTCATACTTTCCTGTAGGATTGCAGTCAGCCCAAACTGTCAGAGTACATACACTATATCTAAGTTCATGCTTTCCTGTAGGACTGCGGTCAGCCCAAACTGTCAGAGTACATACATTATATCTAAGCTCATACTTTCCTGTAGGACTGCAGTCAGCCCAAACTGTCAGAGTACATACATTATATCTAAGCTCATACTTTCCTGTAGGACTGCAGTCAGTCCAAACTGTTAGAGTGCATACATTATATCTAGGCTCATACTTTCCTGTAGGACTGCAGTCAGCCCAAACTGTTAGAGTACATACACTATATCTAAGTTCATACTTTCCTGTAGGACTGCGGTCAGCCCAAACTGTCAGAGTACATACATTATATCTAAGCTCACACTTTCCTGTAGGACTGCAATCAGCCCAAACTGTTAGAGTGCATACATTATATCTAAGTTCATACTTTCCTGTAGGATTGCAGTCAGCCCACCACTGTCAGATTACATACACTATATCTAAGTTCATACTTTCCTGTAGGACTGCAGTCAGCCCAAACTGTTAGAGTGCATATGTACAAGTTTCATAGAATTTGTGAATTTCTCCTATGATTATCGGTTCTCCTCCAACTTTCACAGGAACCTTGTACCGTAAGGACTGTGAGGTCTGCACTCTGGGGCTATTTCAGTACTGTGAGGTCTGCACTCTGAGGCTATTTCAGTACTGTGAGGTCTGCACTCTAAGGCTATTTCAGTACTGTCAGGTCTGCACTCTGGGGCTATTTCAGTACTGTGAGGTCTGCACTCTAAGGATATTTCAGTACTGTCAGGTCTGCACTCTGGGGCTATTTCAGTACTGTCAGGTCTGCACTCTGGGGCTATTTCAGTACTGTCAGGTCTGCACTCTGGGGCTATTTCAGTACTGTGAGGTCTGCACTCTGAGGCTATTTCAGTACTGTCAGGTCTGCGCTCTGGGGCTATTTCAGTACTGTGAGGTATGCGCTCTGGGGCTATTTCAGTACTGTGAGGTATGCGCTCTGGGGCTATTTCAGTACTGTGAGGTCTGCACTCTGGGGCTATATCAGTACTGTGAGGTCTGTATTCTGAGGCTTTTTCAGTACTGTGAGGTCTGCACTCTGGGGCTATTTCAGTATTGTGAGGTCTGCACTCTGGGGCTATATCAGTACTGTGAGGTCTGTATTCTGAGGCTATTTCAGTCTGCACTCTGAGGCTATTTCAGTACTGTGAGGTCTGCACTCTGGGGCTAAATTTGCTCTGGTCCGGTTTTGTTTTTGGACTGAACACTTCCAAATTTCTTGTCACTCCTTAAAAACAAAAATAGAATAAACCGTTATTCACATAGGGTACTAAAATGGCTAACCTTAGTATAAAAGGCATTAATTGACTGTACATGGGGAAATATAACTACTGTGGAATTCAAATGACTATGGGAAAATAAAACGCCTGCCTCAAAAATGATGCACATTTATACATTGAGAGGTAAAATGGCTGTCGGTAGGATCAACGTTATTGATCATCATTAGAAAGATAGATTAATTAAGATAATCAATAGATTAGTAACTACTGAACCATAAACAACGGGCTTCTTGTGAGTAATGCAAGTCTGAACACTGCATAAATACAGATAGTGGTATCTCTGTTACAAAAATAACAGAAAATGGTTTCTGTATTTTTTTCCGACAGAGAAGATTTGATCATTAATAGTCAAATCTCCCGTTGGCAGGTTCAGCTCGAAGCCTATTCCGTCCCCCCGATAGATATTCCATTTTTGCCACCACTGACAGTTGTCTGTAACTACAGACACAAGTTCTCGTCCTTCTTAAACCGCCATTCCAATACTGTCAGTTTCAATCTGGCGGATGACGACAAGCAGAAGACTGTAGGAAATAGGCTCAGTCAGGCTCAAGGCTTGGAACCTCTGTCTCCCCCGAGATTGCTTAGTAAGCTAGCCCACCTTCTAATTGATCTGGACAAGTTTAATATATCCTGAAAGGGACATGGGGACATGATGACTATTGACAATTGTTATTCCTCCTTCCTGTTTACCAGGTTTTATTTCTGGTACAAAGAGTTGAAATTTGTATGATGGGAAAAGTTGGGAGAAGGACAGGTCTGACCTGGGATTATGAAACAATTTGCACTAAGTCAGAATTTGAATGTTATTTTCGTAATGTCATATCTTGAAACATGTATTGACTGAACACAAGGACAGAAGATTTTATTTTGAAGTAGGGAGATTGGGTTTGATATAAAAATGGTTTTTACCAGTTCAAGCGTAAAATCATTTTAATAATGATCAATATTTACAATATCCAAATGATATATTTGCACCAATTATTTTCTCACCGGCCTGTACTGACTTTACAAATCCTCTATTAAACAATCAATAAATTAGCAAGTCTATGGTGATAATTCACCCTAAATGGATACAGGTGTTGCAAACAATAAGCACTGTTACAAAATCTGTAACTTGGTCTGGTGTTGCATCCTGTACTGCAAATCTTTTGAGCAGGCACGTAATGATAATGGCTCCTTTAAATTTTGTATGAGAGAAAGTGTCCTTTATCAGGGTGTAATCATAACAGACAATCTTGACTCTGATCTTAACACATATTAATTCTGACATTAACACACGTTAAGTTTTGATAATAACACATCAAAGTTTGATCTTAACACACCTTTATTTTTTAATCCACATAAAGTTTTCAATTTTGAAATAGCTGTTTTGTTGTGCTGATAAAATGCCCAAACATCTCAACGGTCAACTTGAAATCCTACCTAGATTTCAGAAACACAAGTGTTCATTCTTTCATTGGAGGTGAATCTACATCATAAGGCAATCATGATTTCTTACCCTTATCCAACTACTGTACTCATACTCCAGTTCATATAGCCAATCTTTTTTTAAGCCTCATCTTATACATGTATATATGGTTACTTGCCAGGTAATATACGTATATTGATGCTCAGCCCCCATTGGTCCCCCCCACCTCCACAGCCCCTTTTCGTCCTCCCTCCACAGCCCCCATTGGTCCCCCCCTCCACAGCCCCCATTGGTCCTCCCTCCACAGTCCCAATTGGTCTCCCCTCCACCAGGCAATCAATGATTGACAGGTGATCGATGATACATACAACAGGTAGATTTTGTTCACCTTGGAAACAGAGTACTACTGTGGACATAAGTGCAAAGTAATCCTAGGGCTCTACAGGAAAATCCCAGCTGGTCAGATGGCATGCATACCTTGGTAAAGTATTAAATACAACTGATAAATATCAGGTATCCTCCTGTGTACAGGGGCAGAGCAGA